TATATATAATTAATAATAATTATACATACTATACATGTTTAAACGAAATGGAGGCGCAAAAGCGTAGCGTTTGAATAAAACACTAAATTCAGACAATTGAAGTTGTTACGATAAAAAACAAAAACGAGGTATATGTGCGCATTGAAAACAAATAAAAAAATAAAAGCATATACACCTCTAAAACACTTCGTACACATCACGACGACGCCGATTGCACAAAGAAAGAAATGATGTATTTCATTCAAAAAGAAGAAAAATAATACTTTGTGCAATTCACTTTACAATGTCATCCACATATTTCCTCTGTTATGTATAGAAATGCAAATAATTATATATATATAAAATTTAAAAAGTAAATATTATGTAAAATATGATTATCACATATAAAACTAACAACAACCATATGTCGTATTTAGTGAAATTTCGCTGAAGAAGATAAAATGTTAAGTAAGCAGTAGTCGAAGTCGAAAAGTAGACGCTAGAGCGTTGAAAGTCGAAGATGTAGAAAAAATTAATTGAGGAAGTAACAAAAACATAAACAAATTAAAAAAAATGTACCAAAAAAAGAGCAAAATCCCCAACGCAAAAATTAGAAATTTCGTATACAGTACTAAACAATTTGATTCCTAAATAATAAATGCGAGTGATTATGTCAAAATCGACAAAGCACACAGCAGTGCGCATCTAACATAAACACTCGCCAACCACAACACTGCCAGTGGCATTCCCCTTGCATACCGATGCGTTTGTGATGCTGAGAGCGCGGAGGTGTGCAACCTGTGAATGATCCATTGCCTGTACAGCGGTGGTGGATATGTAAAGCGCATGCGCATGCAATGCTTGATCTATGCCAGACACAACTAAGATTGGCAAGCGTGTGCAACTGATGTGTAGCTGCGTGATATTTGGCATAGGAGCTTATTCCATGGTTGCGGCTGGCGGCTACTGCAGCACTGAAGGACTTCTCAAACAACAACAAGAATTAGCGTACTAATATTTGTATAAACAATAACAAGTTGTATTTGTATTGTAACAACAAAACATCTGTTGCACAAATTACATGCATACACGCATACGCATACAAGTATTCGTCTAGAAATATTGTCATTAAATTTTGTTATTAGTTATTAGTTTAAGTTATTATTGTTGGCGCGTTTTTCTTTTTGGCTTGTTGTGTTGCTTTGTTGGAGATCTGCGAATTAGAAGACTAGAAAACAATGGCAGTCGCAGCAGAGCTAGAAAAGAAGTTGAAGCAGTAGCGGTAGTAGCAGAACGGCGAATTTTTTTTATTATGTTAGAGGGAAAATAACTATTTGTATTGTACTTG